TTTCTATCTCTCTGTCTCTCTCTGTCTTTCTGGCAAGCGCACACGCCCTATAGCAAAAACCTCTCAAAAAAAAAAGAAAGAAAAGAAATACAACCTCTCTGTCAAAAATGCACATTGTCATCCCATGTTCACATTGTTGTAGCTTGGTAGCTATAGATTTTCAAGTAATAACCAATTATTTGATAAGAAACATCTATTCACAAAATATCTAAGGTAGATGAAAATAATTTTATGGAAAGAAAACACGGTACTATCCAAGTGTTCTATGTAGTCATTTTCGTGTGACTTTAAAGTCATTATACTCACAAGTGAACAATCTATCTCAGTGGACATATTAAACAACCATGAAAATCAAATCAAGTATACATGTTAAATAAGATGCAACACATTTCCTGAAGAAAACCCAGCTTTCAGAGCCCTTTCCCAGAAGGTTGTAGACGTACGGTTGGGGAACTCCTCTTCTATCCTTAAGGAGGGGAGAGCCTGCAGAAAACCAGGGAGGATTTCTCTCTCATTCCCTGTTTCCCCAGTAGTTTTATCCAAGTTAAAGTTTGTATCAGGGAAATAACAAGAAAATATTATACATAAGAACAATAACATGAAAACATAATAAAAAAACATGCAGTCTACATGGTTCCCTAGGATTGGAGCATGCAGGCCACATGTGCATTCTTGGTTACGTGTTAGGGAATTATGGTTTGTTAGGCTAGCTGTAAATGCATATGAGTTCTGGGTCTTTTTAAAATAGCTACTTTCTAATTGTCTTTCCAAATCACTGCCCCAAACCTGTTTAAAGCTGAATAGAACTCTTCTTACAAAGTTGAGACTCAAGGATATTTTAACTTTTCCACTCACAGAGCATTGTCTTTACAGATCACTGCCCAAACCTGGTTAAAGCTGAATAGAACTCTTCTTACAAAGTTGAGACTCAAGGATATTTTAACTTTTCCACTCACAGAGCAGTCTCTGCCTGTATTATGGTAGGCTGTGTGTCTATGGGCAAGAGCTATGAACCTATTTGGTGAAAGAGGAAAACAAAAAAAAATATAGTCTCCAGGAAAAAAAAATTGATTTTGATAGAGGGGCTGAATCTAACCAATCCTGGAAGTTATCTGGGTTTAAGTTGATTTTGACATTAGGGATTGGTCTTACATAAAAGATAAAGTCTGAGATGTCAATTACAATTTTTTATTTCCATTCTGATGTTTTCAGTTACATCAGTATAACCTAGTACTATCTAGCTGCTGAGGTATTAATTAATATATCTTTCTAACAGTTATTTTAGTATTAGAAGGTTCTCTTGGAGGGTATAGAACTATGCCCTGGGTATACTTATGAGGACACTGGTTAGTTCTGGACTGGCTTCCAAGAGTTTAAACTGATATTGGTACTGTTCATTTGGTGTCCTTCTATCACTTATGTTAAGTCATGTTTTAATTTGTTTTACTCCTAAAAGTAGGCTTTATCCCAACTTTTTAATAGTAGACCGACTTGTATAAGAATAATAGATACAAATATTAAAACACTAACTTTCTGAAGGCTCAAAGAAAGGAAGATTAACTTATATTTCCGTGAATATTCCAGATTATCCTTTATATGTATTTCTCTCTGTTTGAGACATCTATTATAGTTTATTTTTGCTTATTTTTTTAAACTAACTTGCAAAACACAGCATGCAGGTTGATATTTCCTAAAAAGTTTGGTAAAGTATGTGTTAATGTTCACTGTAATTGCAACAATAAATTCTGCCAAGTTAATAGATTTCTTAGTCTAGTTTTTGGGTTTACTTATAGTGTAAGTTACTTTGTGATATTTATATTGTTTTAAGAACTAAAATCAGATGAAAAGAAAAATTGGCTTTTAAAATTTGCACTGTAAGAACAAGCATCAAAATTATGTTATTTTTGACATATCATTTTGCCCCCAAATTTGTTCTTGATCAGAGCTGCAAGGTGTAAATAATTTAATACTTAAAGAAAAACAAAATAAAAATAAAATGTGAAACTCTGAGTCTTGAACTCTGAGTTGCAAATGGTCATCCAGGAAGAGAATTCAGGTAGATCGGCACCAGAGAAACCAGGGAATGCTTGGATAATTTGTTTATCCTGTTATATTTAATTCAAAGTAGGGAAAATATAAAAACAACTTGCAACAAGGTATAACACAATACTTAAAAGCTCATTTCACCTGAACTTTTATTTTTAATGGGTCTATTTATTTACAGGGATATTAAAAATTAAAATATATTTCGAAGCAATGCATATATTCAACTAATGTACAATATGAGAGGTTTTCTATATTATGAAATAAATCATCATGTTGTGGAAAATAGTCTCTCATACCTTGCATCCCATTGCTGTAAACCAACAAAAGTTTTGCTTTCTACCTCTTCTTTGTATGCATGCCATGCATTTTAATCAAGTTTATGTATATATGTAAAGAACTGTCCTGATTTCTTTACATTTTCTATACTTTTGCATTGGATTTCAAAGACATAAACAGAAAGAATGAAAAGGGGGGAAAATGCTTATTTATGGTTGTTTGGATTACAAGCAAAATGCTTGTAAGAGATACAACGGCATACTTTCTCAAAACTCCAAAGTAATTTTGTTTATGGTCTCTCTGCAGCTAGATCCTGAAGCTAGTACGATTCTAAAAGAACTTCAAGTTAAGCTCAATGGTGTTCTGGATGAGCTCAGCGTCACTTATGGGGAAAGGTAAGAGGCCTAAGTAATTACCTAAATGTGTTGGGTTTCAGTTGCTAGTAATCATATCTTCAGTGCTTGTTTATCCTGTTATATTTAATTCAAAGTAGGGAAAATATAAAAACAACTTGCAACAAGGTATAACACAATACTTAAAAGCTCATTTTACCTGAACTTTTATTTTTAATGGGTCTATTTATTTACAGGGATATTAAAAATTAAAATATATTTCGAAGCAATGCATATATTCAACTAATGTACAATATGAGAGGTTTTCTATATTATGAAATAAATCATCATGTTGTGGAAAATAGTCTCTCATACCTTGCATCCCATTGCTGTAAACCAACAAAAGTTTTGCTTTCTACCTCTTCTTTGTATGCATGCCATGCATTTTAATCAAGTTTATGTATATATGTAAAGAACTGTCCTGATTTCTTTACATTTTCTATACTTTTGCATTGGATTTCAAAGACATAAACAGAAAGAATGAAAAGGGGGGGAAAATGCTTATTTATGGTTGTTTGGATTACAAGCAAAATGCTTGTAAGAGATACAACGGCATACTTTCTCAAAACTCCAAAGTAATTTTGTTTATGGTCTCTCTGCAGCTAGATCCTGAAGCTAGTACGATTCTAAAAGAACTTCAAGTTAAGCTCAATGGTGTTCTGGATGAGCTCAGCGTCACTTATGGGGAAAGGTAAGAGGCCTAAGTAATTACCTAAATGTGTTGGGTTTCAGTTGCTAGTAATCATATCTTCAGTGCTGTTTCTCTCCTCTGCCTGACTGAATTCATTAACTTTAAGACCTAGTCATCTCCTCTGAAAAGTCTTTGTGTCTCATCGCATGCTCCCCAAACCTCATGCATCCTTCAGTCAAGTGGCACTTAACAGCACTCTAAGTTTTATTTGTCTATTTCCCTCACTTTTCTACATAGCCCGTAAGTATAAAACCCATAAATCATACACATTTGTAATTCCTTTGTTTAGAGCTTAGCAATTGACTATTGAAAAAATGGAGGGAAGATCAAAGAAGAACTTTGCGTTTATAAATAGCATGAGTTGTGTTCATGCTAGACATATCAATGTACACAATGGATATTCTTGGGAATAACTGAACTCCAAATCCTACACAAATTAAGTCAAGATTTTTGGTTTTAGGATGTAGAAACCTGACTATATGTCTTCCCCTGTGGGCAAGTGTTTGGAAACTACTGACATACTTATTATTTTAAAAAATCAACTTTATCTATAGTATGGTTCTAAGAAAAAAGAAGTTCACTATAAGTAAATTTCATTTTAGTCTTGTAGGAAAAAGACATCATCTTATCATCAAATGTCAAAAAAGACAGGAAAGCAAATACATCTTTGAAGAGCTTCATTAATTTAATCTAGAAAATTCTATCAATTTTAAATACTAATTATCAATTTTAAAATCTAAAAATATTATCTTTAAATATTAATTCAATAAATGTTGGCTTCTTTTAAACTATGTGTTCAGTTCTCAAATGAGACTCTAAAATTACTCTTACAGTGATAGCTCTCTCTTAATACCACTCACTACCTATTGTTGTGTTTTAGAAAGATACAAGATGAGTAAACATTTGTTGACTACTTCAGACACTTCTTAAATCAGAAAAACAAAACAGAAGATGCTGAAACCATTTTATTTTTTCTCAGACATAGGAATGAAGCAGAGTAAATAGAAATCCCATCCTTAGCCTTCTCTTCATTATCAAAGGTGTGTTCATGACACCCTTAAGCCAAGTGACATCTTTCTGGAGCCTGCTTTCACAGTTCATGTGCTGAGCTAGAGCAGCCTTCCATAATGGCCTTAGTTAGGGTAGTTGCTCTGCTCTGCCTCTGCTCTGTTATTAGCTGATCTCAGTGATCCTGCCTATGTGGACTGCATGTTAATTAACAACCTGAGCATTCTATTTACCTAGAGTTAGGCAGAGGTCATTCCAGAGATGTGGGAGCTCATTGGTTCTGAATAGAGATGACACTTAGTGATGAGACCCTTGCTCAGCCATTTTAGGCTTGCCTCTCCTTATTCTAGTGTGAATTAATATGTGGTTAAAGGGACCAGCAGCTGTTGTAATGGTTACATTGCTGAACTCCCACATAGTCAACTACAGTTCAAGTCCTGGACTTGGTGACTTAAAAACTCATGCTGGGTGCATATACAGGCATGGCCAAAATCCCGAAAGGAGAATGGAAGAGAAGGGATTGTCTGTCTCTCCAATGAGCACATGTCCCCTATAGGAAAAAAAAAAAAAAAAAAAAAAACTCTTAAAAAAAAAAACAACAAACTTTCCCATAGAATTTGGGAAATTTAGGTAAGATAAAACAAGTCAGGGATAGTTACAGGTGTTCAGAACTTTATAGGAAATACAATGACTACCCAGAATAGAAAACAGAATATAAAGATATTTAAATTACCTTCTATAAAATATCCAAATTGCAGACTTGAGGCCTGAGTTCTTGGGTTCCTGACATGCTCATAGGGCACCTGGCTGGGAACTGGGTAATCTCACTGCAGTGCTATCTTACAAATGCGTTTAAAGATGGTCTTAGATTTTTAAAAACTCATACCACTGAACTTCCACTGACAAACATACTTTGCAATTTGGCTTTGTTGGTTTACAACATTTCTCTCACTGATACCCTCAGTACCAGAGGCTGAGTAGCTTAAATAAACAAAGAATTTGGGAATATTTCATAGGAATTCTTCTGTGAGTATTTGACTTCTTCAGTGCTTGCTAAGTCTGTCATTACTACTTGATGCTACTTTTATTCAAGTTGATTAATAAAAATACTTTTCAACCAATATATGGAGAGAAAATCCATTTAATGAATGTAGACAAGGTCAATAGAGACAAAGGGTATTTCAGGCAAACTGCAGACATTAGTTTACCCCAGATTCATGCAAGAGTAGAATGTATTGTCCATTACATTAGAGAGCCCTTCTGGACCAGCAGGTGACATGGTGGTTAAGTACTGGATCCCACATGGCTGACTGTACAGTCTGAGCCCCAGACCCAGCAGCTTGAAAAACAGTCTGGGAGTCTGGGAGTGTGTGTGTGTACATGCCCAAAATCCCAAGAGGAGAATGGAGGAGAAGGAATTATGATGTGGCTATCCCCACTTGGGGATAATTTCTCACCTTCCCTCTTTCTTTGTCTCTCTGGCAAGCACACAGGTCTGGTGGGGGGGTAAAATGTGTGTGTCTGTGTACGTAGAGAGAGAACAAGTGCCCTTTCTCCAAATGCCTAGTCCCACACTCAGAACCAACTTCAGATTGGAGTTTACAATATGGATCTGCTTAAGAACCCACTTTTCTCATATTTGAAACACAAGCATCAAACCTTTTTCTTAGTCTGTCCCCTGACTCCAAGGTATTGATTTGAGAATGAGTGCAGGAGGAAATGATTATTTTAAAAATATGATCATTACTATAGTCAGAAGGATCATTGATGATCCACAAGTTAATCAAGCATTTCAAAATTTCTAACATTTTACTTCCTTTTCTATTGCCCCAAGTAGCTACTACCCCATCATCAAATACAAATATCACTGCAAACACCACCCTCTCCACCACTTTTTCCATCCCTGCTCTCTCACGCTCTTGCAACTACTACCTGACAAAAGTCCAAAGGCAGGGCACGTCAGACAAAAATGAAATGATCACGGATTTGGACCTGCCTAGAAAAGATCTTGGAAGAGAATGTTGTAGTGAGCTGATAAATATGCAGAAAGCCAAGAAATGAGCCACATCCATAGGCTCATTCATATATAAATGTCAAGTCCAGAAAATGGTATACTCAACAGTAAAGGAAGCCAAGGAAAGTCAGGAGCCCACGATCGATGTGCATCACACACGAGGTTAGACACAGAATCAGGCCTTGAATATATGCTCAGAATGATAAACCAGCACATTGTAAACCTGCTACTTAAAAGCCAGGATCAAAAAACACACAAGCTGTGATCTTTTAAAATCTACCAAAGAGGAACCAGCAGTTAGCATAATGTCTATGTGGCTGAACTCCCAGGTAGCTGACTGCGGTTCAAGTCCCGGACCTGGTGACTTAAACTCACGCCTGGTGTGGGTGCATATGTGCCCAAGATCCCGAGAGGAGAATGGAGGAGAAGGGATTACGGCGTGGCCATTCCCCCTGGGGTGTGGTTTCTCATGTTCTATTGCTCAGTCTTTCTCTGTCTTTCTGGCGAGCACACATGCCCTACAGCAAAAACCTGTCCAAAAGAAAAGAAAGAAAGAAAAAATCTACCAAAGATTTCTCAAATTAGATAATAAAAAAAAAAACTAGAAAAATAAAATACTTGCTAACAGCACACTATTTGCATAATATACATGCTAAAAGTAAAGGTCTCATCTGTAGCACAAGAACAAGAAGTCGTGCCTATTTTGTTCATTATCATATCCTCATACCTAAAATGGTGACTGTCACATAGTAGATATTTATTAAGTATTTATAGAATGTATGCATACTTGCATAAACATGTGCATTCTATTTCATTAATAATGAAAGCACTATATAGTAAAAATTCCTAAATGTTTATGTAAAATTAAATATGGCAAATGACATTAACTGTGTAATCATCGTGTGTGGAGAAGAAGGAATGGGACTTACTTGATGGCAATATTAACATGCATTCCTTCCTCCACATCAGCATTCCAGTAATGTGACCATTTCCCAAGCTTTCATGTGTCTCCATCTCCATGGTTTTACTGCATATTTACACACTTCTACTTTTGTTATAATCACTATTATTTTTGAAGATGTGACAAAGTAGCGGACAACATAGAGAAATGGTAGTGAGACTGAGTCTCCACCATTTAAATCTCTTATTACTTCCCACTGCTTAGGTAAGAACTACCAAAACTGGTGTAGCAGATATAGAAAGTAAAAGTGAAAAAAATGTAAAGGATTACTCTTTACAGATTTATTTAAGTCCATAGAGTAGTAAGGCGCGAGAGGATAGCAGAAGGAGATGGTGCATTGATAAATTCAACTGACAATTCTTTTTACATAGCTTTGTTGAGATATCATTGGCATACAAAAATTATGTATATTTAAGGTATACAATGTGATAGATTGATAAAAGTTTGCATATTCCAGCTAATTAATGTATTTATCACCTCTACAGGGTTGCCGGTGTGCATATGTGTGTGTGTGTGTGTGTGTGTGTGTGTGTGTGTGCGCGCGCGTATGTGTGTGTGTGAAGACTTAATTTTCACTCCATCCTCTTAGCAAATTTCAAATTATACAATATTGTACTATTAACTACTGTTCCACCACTTCCTGAGCAACTTCTTCATACTAATGTGACATCATGATACAGGTATATAACACAAAGTTCCTGCTTTTATGGAGCTGGCATTCTAGTAGCGGGGGAAAGAGGACACTGACAATAAATCTAAAGCTATGCAGGTGTAAAATAATAGAGGGTGCAATGAAGACAAAAAAATAAAGAACAGTACAGAATGGAGAATGATCGAAATGTCATTTCAGCTTGTGTGTTCAAGGAAGACTTCTCTGAGGTGGGGACTTGTGGCATATGCCTGAAACACATAAGGACTGAGATAGTCTTGAGAATTTCCACAGTAGAGTGAACTTAAAAGTGGCTACTACATAAGAGTGTCCTCAGAGAATCCTAAGAACAATGAGAAGTCTGTTGTGGCTAGACTGTGATGAGGCCAAGGGAAGAATATCAAGAAATGAGATCAGTGAGCTAGCTTGTGCTAGATTATGCTGAGCTTTAAATACATTCTAGATTTGTTCTAGTGGATTTGGAAGCTATTGGTTTCTATCTTAACAGCATCTATGGAGAAAGCTGAACAAACAGATAATGTAGGAAGTTGTTGCACGAGTCCAGAATAAGAAGATGGTGGGTTGGTCATACAGTAGCATTTTGGTAGTGATAAATCCTCAGATTTAGGACACTTTATAAAGGTTTGCTGATGGTTAGATGTTGGGTATGAGTCACGTTGTACTTCCAGTTGGAATAGTGACACAGCAGTTTCATAAAGCATAGTTACACAGCAGTTTAATAAAGCAGTCCAGATCTGGACTGGAAGTCAGGTCTCCAGATATAAATTTGGGAATCGCCAGTACATAGATAGTATGGAAGCCATAGAACTAGATGCAATTGCCAAGGAAGTGATTGTTGAAGGAGGGGTGGAGTGGTCCAAGGATAAAGCTCAAAGGATAACAATGTAGGGTTGCCAGATAAATTACAAAATGTCCAGTTAAACTTGAATTTCAGTTAATAATAATTTTAAAAATACAATTATGTTTGTAGTATTACATCAACATATTTGTATTAAGCAATATTTAACCTGAAATTTGAATTTAAGTAGGCTTCCTTTTATTTTATACATGGTTAGAGAACAGGCACTAGAAAAGGAGAAGCCAATGAGTTTGGAGGAAAGCCAAGAGGGTCACAGAAACCAAATGAAGAAGTTGTGTCCAGATGCCAAGAGTTTTTCTGGAACAGCTGTTTTTTTTCCAAACAATGTTCATAAGAGCTATTCCTGTCAGAAATGGGGACCAAATGTGTTCCTATTCAACTTAATTCAACCTGAAGGTCATCGCTATTATTTGCTTTACCTAAAAGGATTCTAAGAAAATTTTTACTGCCACTAAACTTTTATGATCAAACAGTAGGTTTGAAAACTAATGAGCAAGAGAATGTATATCATTTTAAACAGTTCAAACTACTTAGGATGGAATTAAAACAGAGTCGGGCAAAAATGCCTACTTTTATGCCAGACTTATATTATATTCTTTATTTCTAGTTTCCAGCTTATAATTGAAGAGTGTATAAAACAGATGAGTTTTGAGCTAAATCAAATGAGAGCAAATGGAAATACCACCTCTAATAAGAACAGTGCAGCAATGGATGCAGAAATTGTGTTGAGAGCTCTCATGGATTTCTTGGACAAAACGTAAGTTGACTATCCAGTGTTCTTTTTATTTATTGCCCTAAAGTAGACCAATAAGGCTTTAAGACAAAAAAAAAATGTTTTCTTCTATGTGAGACAGCTTTATAAAAAATTTCTATAGAAATAAATGAATTTATGATAAAACAGCACACTTCTAATTCATTACTAGATGAAAAACATCAGGAATGACTTCATAAAAGAAAAGATGAGAGGAAATAAACCTGGGTAACCAAGGAGGCTGCCATTCTGAGGAAGAGAGCAATTTAGGATTTCTTGCTCTTCAGAGAACATGTTGTTTTGCATCCTCCTAGACAGAGAGAAAAACTGAGTTGAGTTCAGAATATCTGATTTCATGTCAGAAACCTGCTGAAGAAGAGAGTAACACAAATGTGACTAGAATTAATTCATCTCAGAAGCAAGCAGTCTGTCTCAACCTTCAGTAACTATTGCTATGTATCTCAAACCCTATTCTAGGCACTTGACAGTGTTAAAAAAGAAAGTCAATGTCCCTGGTGCTATGGAAAAAACAATCTAGTAATGGTGGTGGTCGGTGGGACTAAAGGCCTTTATGACCAACTAAGATAGTTTCTTCACCAGAAAAGTCAGTTGGCTGATTTGTCTGTGTGTTTTGTGTTGTGTTGTGTGTGTGTGTGTGTGTGTGTGTGTGTTTCTTTTTAATATCTGCTCTGTCTCTACTCTTAGAAATTCTAAGCGAGTAGGGTCAAGACAAATATATAGTAAAATGTATCCACAGTTGGGAGCCATTAATCTAAAGCAACCAAAGACATGATTTCTTCAACAATGATTTTCAGAATCAGAATTGAAGGCAGAAGAGAAAAAGAAATAATAATTTCCAATACCTATACAGGGACCAAGGTCACACATGGTAGTCTATATATATTATCTCATGTTTTATTGTTATGGCAAATTGATACTAAATGTCTTTGTTTAAGGCATCAAATTAGAAGTGAGTAGGGAGAATCTCTTCTGAACACTTATAATTTCTACTTTAATTCCTTTTCCCTGTATCTATAATCTTATAGTATAAAAAGGGCTAATGTCTGTTTTATCAACTTAATTTTAATATCTGGTAGAAAAATTGCCTTATTTCTTATTTGCTGTGGGAAAATATCTAAAAGATAGGTTAACAGGTAGATAGCTAATGAAAGGTAGTAGACACATGGGTGTATAAGAAAAGTAGGAGACCAACCATGGAGGTGTGGGTGGTAGGATACCACTCTGCAATACTAGAAGCCATATGGAAAACTGGGGCTCAGATCCCCGGTATACCTGAGCATGATGGGAGCACACGTGTATCCCATGATTCTGGCTGACTGGAAAGCTGAAGGTAGGGGAATTTTTCTCATGATGAGACCCTGTCAAAGATGCCTGTATCTCTCTTTCTCCCTACCTCTCTCTCTCCTCCTGTCTCCATTTCTGTCTCTCTCGTTCTTTCTCTCATGAAATAAAGAAAATACATAAACTTTTTTTATTTTTTTAAAAAGGGAGTAGAAGATATAAGAGAGGAAGGAAAGGAAGAAAGACCAAAAAATGTTATTCTTTTAGACTCTTAATGTAGATTTTTTATTCTTAACACATAATTTTCTACATGTTCCCTTAGAAATTTTACTTTATTATATAATTCTTTATTCAATAATGCAAAAATTGAATCATTATAAACACACCAGCATTTGGTTGTGAATGTTCTGGGTATAGAATCTTGATTCTCTTAAACTTCCACTGGAGAGGCCAGCAGGCAGTATAGTGGTTAAGGCACTGGACTCCCACATGGCCGACTGCAGTTCAAGTCCCAGACTTGAAACACACTGGGCATGTGTGCATGTGTGCCCAAAATACCAAGAAGAGAATAGAAAAGAAGGGACTGCAGTGTGGCCATCCCTCCTGGGAGTGATTTCTCGCTTTCTGCCTCTCTGTCTCTCTTGTGAGCACACGCACTCTAGAGCAAAAAACAAAAACAAAACCAAAAAAACTCTAAAATGGGGCATGGCAGTGTCCATCCTATGGTTAAAAAAAAAAAAAAGAAACAAAACAAAACAAAAACTTTCACTGGAAAGTCTTTAGTGTTTTAGAGATATATCCTTTATTATTAACAAAGCTACTTATTTTGTATAATTTGTAACCAAAAATTGTGGAATATACAGAAAGTTTCAGCTAATCCTAATCCAGATACTTCCTTCTACTAGCTGAGTGGATGTGAATCTATTTTATGTATAAAATGGGGATAACGGAGAAAGTGGATTGACTTATTTTCAGTATATTTAGTTTCTTATTTCACTTAGTTTTAATTTTCTACTTCTAGGTGTACTTTATTATATTACATATGTCATTTCTTATCATTCCTAATGGAAAGAAATAATGTATAAAAAAATCTACTTAAAATATTTGTGAAAAAGTTTTGAAATGTTTTGAAAGAGTTATTATAAGAGGCAATGGAGAGTTGTAGAGATGCTCAGGGCTAATTCAGAATGCTTAAGTGTAATGCCACTGCTTAGGGGAAATATTTAAAAGTCAGATATTGATTCTGTTTTCAAAGACCTAACAATTGAGAAGGAGAAATAATAAATGAACAAATAAACATGATAAGTGCAAAGTGATCATCCCTGCTTCCGAGAATGAGTGGAAATTTCCTTTGGGTTGAATATTTGAAAGTGGATAGGGCTTGGATGTATGAAAATGAGAGCTAGTCATTCCAGGGGGAAAGAAAACAGCTGGGTATGTTATGAAAATATCAACTATAGGGACCAGCAGTTAGCGTAATGGCTATGTAGCTGGACTCCTATGTAGTCGACTGCAGTTCAAGTCCAGGACCTGGTGGCTTAAACTCACGCTGGGCGCATATGCGTGCGTGCCCAAGATCCTGAGAGGAGAATGGAGGAGAAGGGATTGCAGCATGGCCATCCCCCCTAGGGAGTGATTTCTCGGTTTCTGTCTCTCTGTCTCTCTCTGTCTGTTTGGCAAGCGCACATGCCCTATAGCAAAAACTTCATATATATATATATATATATATATATATCAACTATATAACAAGAAATGTCCGTTGCCAGTTAGTACACATGGCATTTGGAGATTATCCGCTTAATTGGTTTTATCTTCCACCCATCTAGATTTCTCAGGTTCTAAAACATGTACTTCTTGGCTTGTGTTATCAAGTAGGTTAAGTTTGACTGAACTAAGGAGGCCATTGCTGGATTTCCTCTTTATTTTCTATTATTTAAAAGAAATAATAGAAGACTAAAAGTCTTCAAGGTGATTTTGAGAAAATCTTGTTAGCAGTCGTGTTATATTGTCAATACGTCGTAATCTCTCCTTCGTCTGTGTGCATGTGCAGTCTCTCTAAATATCTTAGAAATATGTTTCATTTTCTCCACCAAGAACCCAACACTTCATATAATGAGCTATAAACTCCATTTCCAACTGGTGGAAATACCATGAAGAGATACAAACATGTCAATGATTTTATTCATATTTCATTTCAGCCTAAGCAAGCAGGGTTAGTTAACATGCCACGTTCGTGGGCTGACCATTAAAAACAGGATCAATACTAAAACTCAGACTAGTTTCAGTCTAAGCAAGCAGGGTTAGTTAACATGCCATGTTCGTGGGCTGACCCTTAAAAACAGGATCAATACTAAAACTCAGACTTTTGGAAAGTGGAAATTGCACATCTGCTGCAGAACTGGCAGATGTGTTGTGTCTCAAATCATCCAAGCGCTGTCTCTGAGGATAGCTTTTATTGTCTTACCATGAAACATCTGCTAGTTTCAACACGATGTCTGTATGGGAAGTACTCACCTGTAAGCTGGAAATGCTACACTTGAACGATGCTTTCGGAAATGGTGGAGCTACAGTTCCAAGGATATGCCTTGGGGGTCTCCAACATTCTTTAGCTAGAGGAGGTTATTTTCACATATTTTTATGTATTTGGGTTTCTTCAAGTAATAATGTTAGGAGAAATTTTTCTTCATGAATATGTATTTCCAAAATCTCTTTGCCTCTCATGTTGCCTGCCTTAAATATTAGTTGTTAATATTAATTATTTAAATACTAATTACTAATGTTATTTGTGTATGTCATTACATGCTAAAGTTGTTCACTCTATCAAAACCAGAGCCAAAGTTATAATTTCTGAGTCCAAAATCATGCAAAATACTTAATAGCCCTGCAGGGAGTCAACGAGGCTGCCCTGAAATACATGATCCACTTTGACCCTCTGTGAAACAGATTTAATTCACTCTTAATCTCAAGTCCAGTGTAGGAGCATATTTAACAGGTATTCATGCAGTTCTGTCTTCAGGCTGGCTAGGCCCTCACACACAAGCACAGGCATCGTCAGCAGCATGCTGGATGGAGAAGACAGCCTACCCTTGTATCTCACTTACTAGCTGGACTTCCTGAGACGGGTACCCCCACCTCTCTGAGCCAGTTTTGTATTTCTAAACTGGGTACGGTGATTAATGAGAAAGATACACAGAACAGTTTTTAAGCTGGGGTGCAAATGCTAGTTTGCATGATCCACTGTAAGAAGAATTGGTAAGGAATACCTTATACCCATTAAAGTAGGTAAATGTGGGTTAAGTAAAATTATATGCATCTTTTCCATCTTGCTTTGTTGGTTCAGTGCACAGGAGTGATGAAAATGTGTTTTCTTGATATTTGGCCTAGACCATGAATCTGGGCATATGCTAACTACACATCAAAGATGAGTAAACAGTGTGTGCTTTGGGAGGCTTGACTCTACTGTGGGAAATGATCTGCCCTCTGTTCCCTTGATGAATATTATTAGATCTGTTGTCTTTTTCCTTCATCCCCATGCTAACTCCTGATCTCAAAAATCATATTGCTTTGATAGGTTTTAAGTAAGAATAAAAAGGGATTTTATATTTTTTGCCTTTAAGTATGTATTTACTTCTCATGTTTTTAAAGATATTTTTTGGGGGGCCAGCAGGAGGTGTGGTGGTTAATGGTGCTGGACTCCCACATGGCTGACCGTGGTTCGAGTCCTGGACCTGGTTGTTTGCTCTCACTCGCTCTCTCTTTCTTTCTCACTCTGTCCCTCTGTTTCTCTCTAGTCAAATTTTAAAAATAAGTAAATAAATAAAGTTAAATAAAATAATTATTTTTAAAAAGATATCTTCCTTTCTGAAGTCTATCAATTAAGGTAACAAATACTCTGATTTGATTTTCTACCAAATACAGTAAGTTATCTAATATATAGTATGTTGAAATCATTTTTTTATATTATGCATCTTCTTTAGTAAGTTGAATTTAGCATTTTAAAATTATAAAGGTCTATTCAGCTATTTGAATCACAGTAGATTTCTAATCTAAGTTTCCGATAAATGAATTAACTCAATACGTTAATAGTAGATTTAAAAGTGAACTAATATTTTATTTTATTTCAGATTAAGTCTCTCAGCAAAAATCTGTGAGAAAACAGTCCTGAAGCGTGTGCTAAAAGAGTTATGGAAGCTAGTTCTTAACAAAATAGAAAAACAAGTTGTTCTTCCTCCCCTGACAGATCAAACAGTAAGTATTTAAAATTTAGTAATATTTCCAATAACCTATCTCACTGTTTTTGGTTTCAATCCAGATGAAATACTAATTAAATAAATTTTGAGAAAAAGTATTTGGTATATGGATTTTCTTTTCTTTTCTTTCTTTTATTTTTCTTTTTTGTTCATAAGATTTTTGCCATAGGGTATGTGCACTTGCCAGAAAAAGACAAAGAGAGACAGTGAGATGAAAAGTGAGAAATCACTCCTCATGGGGGAATGGCCACACTGCAGTCCCTTCTCTATTCTCCTCCTGGAGTTTTGAGCGTGCACACACATGCCTACATACCTAGCATGATTTTCAAGCTACCAAGTCCGGGACTGGAACCACAGTCAGACATGTGGAAGTTCCAATGCCTTAAACACCATGCCACCTGCTGGGCCCTGATATATGGATTTTAACAACAATCATGAAAAATATTTTCTTATCCCAATTTTGATGATAGCATCAAACCTTACTCTTGTTTGACATCAAAATTTCATTTCTTAAAAAAAAATATCAAAGTTTAATCTATAGGATTATTTAATCTACACATATAAGTTTAATTTTATTTTACTGAGAACCCACAAGGAAATAGATTTAGGATAGAATATCTGCTGTGTTTATTAGATTTGACAGCTTAAGGAAATAGTTCCGACACTGCTATTTGAAACTTTTTCACCTTTCCATTCTGGTTTCATTTATTGCCTCTCTACTTGGATATTATGGAGGAGATACCGTCAGTGGATTTGAAGAATGTGATTGTATCACACACAGTAAAATAAAAAAGAACCAGAAAGATCAATTGGCAGCAAAGTTAGACAGTGGTCAAGCAGGTATATAGAGCCGGCTCTCTCCTGAGCCAAGCAATGAAAAAATAACCTTCACCAGCATCTGTTATGAAGTAATTGATTTTTTTTTTCCTGTGACTGAGGAAGATAAATTGATACAATGATGAGTAACTATAAATTAACCCAAAATATGTATTGACATCACTAATGATGTATACTGAGTCCACATTTATCCAGGGAAATTATATGCACAGAAAAAAATTTCTTATAAAGTATTCCAAGATGTAAAGATGCATGTATTGTTGTTGATTGCTAGATAGTGAGTAAATAAAATATGAGTTACTTTGGGTTTTACTTCATGCTATGAACATGTGGTTTAATTATCTATAGTCTACATATACAGGTGACTAAATCACATATGCACACACACTAGACACACATACACACATAGACAGCACATACATACATTATTCTGCTATAATGCAGACTATAATTCTATGACATTAGTGGGCTTTCATGTAATTAGTCGATATGGGAAAAATTTCAGTATAATCCAAAAGGTGAGTTGGTTCATGTGGAGGAGGGGGGTTTGGAATATAATAGAATCATTATAAATTCAGCCAAAAAGGAAAAGTATCTCACCATGGCTACTGCAAAAGCTGTTTAAAAACAAACAGACAAAAAAGGCCAGGGAGTATCTCCACATAGGCTGCACCTTGCATGGTTCCCACGTGTGGAAGCTCCTCGGAGCTCTGCTTGGTAGGCCTTATCTCAGTCCACAGTTGTACTCTGTTGTTCTTATATTGTTTGTTTGCATTTTTAATTTCCCTTGAGGCAGCCATCAGCCTGACTGAGCTCCCAGCTAGCTGTCCAAGCCATCTTCCAAAGTAGTAATTATTACTTTTGATTGGTTTTTGGTAACAAAGTTGTATGAGCTATGACTTCACTGCCCAATGTTTTCACCATAAGCCCTATCATGCTCAGTGTGCTGTTTTGCAGAATATAATGTCTTTTATGAATGCATGTCTCATGTTATAACAGAAATGGTATATATGACATTTAATTTTATTTTTAAAAATAATTACTTATTTCATTTTAATTATCTTTTTATTATTCAATTTGACCAGAGAGAGAGAGACAGAGACAGAGAGGGAGAGTGAGAAAGAAAACCTCTAGGTCTGGGACATGAACTGTGGTCGGCCATGTGGGAGTCAACACCTTAACCACCAAACCATCTGCTGGCCCCGACATTTAATTTTCTAAACAAGGATTTTCCTAGAAAAGCTTACCATTATCTAAATTTTCTCTGGTATTGAGATCTCCGAGTGTGAACATGGCCACAGTTAGTACTTTTTCAAGTTTAAGAGGGTTTCTTGAATGCCTGTAGTTTTTCATTCTAATAGCTTATTTATGATTTATTCCAGTGTATTTTAATTCTTTTGCCCAGAATCTTGATATTCCAAAGAAAGCTTCTGGTTAAGAGACAGATTCAGAGGGCAGGTCTCTAATAGATTGGACATTTCAGGAGGAATAGCTCTACCTTCCTCAGCACTGTATCTTAAAATTTTGCACACTTATTCTTCAAGAGAGTGAACTGAAGTTGTCTTTGGTAAATATAAATACATTAAAGTTAAAGATCACTGATTTAATCCATATGCTATATTAAACTGGCTGTATCAGTAACAAACCATTAAATAACCTAAGTCTAAGACTTTCAGAAGTGGGCTATCTATGAGGACTATTATACTGCCAGTGGTATTACTGGATGGTCGGGAAAGTCATGAACACTCTTGCATAGCAAAACAGCAAAATACACCACTACTTTCCTGACAACCTCATGGATACTTTAAACCCAATCTGTCAGGTTGACCAATTAAGAGCATCTGATTTAAAACCACACGTTATAATAAAGTTAATAAAGAAGATGCTCTATTGAATACATTGTTACTCTAATATTGTAGATCATAAGACTAATCTTATTTTTCTTTTTCTCTGTATGTTTTTAGGGACCACAGATGATTTTCATTGCAGCTAAAGATCTTGGACAATTATCCAAACTGAAGGTAATAAGAATAAAATAATTACCGATCATGAAATGTAATGAGCTAAATACAGCCCTGTAAGAAACCTTCTTCCTACTAGTAATGATATCTAGTATGGCCGGATTAAAAAGATGTATGTTTGTGATCTTTCAATCTGCTATGCAAATTTTTTCTTTTAGAGGTTTTGCGATTGGGCATGTGTGCTCACCAAAGAGACAGAGAGACAGAAAGTGAGAAATCACCCCCACCCCCAGGGAAGATGGCCATGCCACAATCCCTTCTCCTCCATTCTCCTCTTGGGATTTGGGGCACATACTCCCTGTGTGAGTTTTAAGTCACTGGATCAAGGACTCGAACCATGGTCAATTACTTGGGAGTCCAGCGATTTAACATTATGCCATCTGCTGGTCCCTGCTTTATGAGTTTTTAACTTTGTATTCTAGCATTCAGCATTATTGCTTTTGGAGTAAATTGGAGAACATATTTTCTTTCATATGTTAAACTGGTTTTGTATGAACAAAGGTAAAATGGAATATTGCATAGAAATCCAGTAGTCTACAGAAATCATAAGCTAAGGAACACAAAATGGGAAAGTGTAACTCATCAGAACAGATGTTCAACTTATTAACATGTTTAATCATATTATTAGCAGGGATTTGCTAACTAAATTATCCTATCCTTAGTTATTACTTCAGAGTTCCAAAACTTTGGAGTTCTGCAAGGAACCTCCATCTCTATCTCTTTACCATAGGAACTTGGTTGGCTAAAATGCATGTTGTTTTTCATTCCATTTCTTTTTTTTAATTAACTAATTAATTTACATTTATTCTCCAAGGATCATTACAGCATATAAAATGTGACTTCCCATCCAGAATATACTGCATAGTTGGCTTAATCATACATGTTATCAATAATTTTCCATTTCTAGTTTCATATAATATATGTATATGTATGTATGTATTTCCCCCTATTTCTCACCCTCTGCCATTTTCTCCCCTCCTCTCACTCTATCTATAGTCCCATTTCTACCTACTAGAATGTCGGTAAGGGAATGATTCCAGGCACAGATAACTAGTTTGCATTATTCCTCAACTTCTTCCAACTAGGTTTCACGAGGCAACATATTCAACCTTTTTTATCTTCAGATGTGACATTTGCAAAATGCTGAAAATGCAAAACCCTTGGTTCATTGGATTGTTGTGAGAATAGTTGAGATCATGCATACATTATCTTTGCTTGGTAACTACAAACAGTATGCCACCTCCCTCTTACAATGAGAGCTGTCTTCCTTTCTCCTCTAGCTGGTTGCTCGTATTTAGGTAGTGTTTGGTATTGTTTGTGAGTACAACACAGAAGAAGGATAGTTAATTTGCATAACTATTTACAAAGGTAATCTATGAACCTTATCATTTCAGAATCCAATATTGTCATCTACATTATCTCCTTCGTTAGAAAAAGAATTTAAATCAGCAATCTATCTAGAGAACGTAACTATCATCTAAAATTATTTCTCACAGGTGTTCAGCACTGTTGATAATTAGGAAAGAAGGTAGAAAGTAGAAGTCGTTGCCAAATCATTGAATCTTGGATCTCTCTCTTCCTTTCTTTATTCTTTAGGTTATCTCTCCAATATTTCCAGACTCTGCTTTGAATAGTGAATTCAAAAACGCTAAAGTTTCTTCTATAAAATCATGAGCAAGACAGCATAGGTCTCATTACCAAAGGAGGCCCTGGCCATGTGTCTAGTGTCTTTGGGGATGGGAGGCACACCATTTCTCCCCAGGGCTCAGTTTCCTAAGTTTCATGTCACATCAGTTAGAACTGTTTCAGTTTCAGTGGAAGAAAGCCAAGCTAGCATAAGCAAAGAAGGAATATATTTCTACATGAAATTTTCTATCCAAGGGTAACTTGGGCTTCCATTACTGATTAGGGATCCAAGCAATGTTACAGGCCTTGGTTACTCTCTCCTTCTCAACTCTGTTTTTCTCGTTTGAAGCATCCTGTTGCAGAGTGGTTGTCTCTGCTCTTACATCCTTTGATGTAACATCCTTTGAACTTGAATCTTGTAGATAATCACCATTTCTAAGCCAATCACTGTGGCCTGGAAAGTGCTGTGTGTCAATTGATTTAACTCTCATACCCACCCCTGAGCTGGGTGTGCAGATCAGCCCCGTCTAAATCTTGTGAACTCTGAATGGCATGGAAAATAGCTCCCTAGAGGGCATATGCATGCTTGCTGAGAAAAATCAGAGACCACAGAAAGCATAACACTTTAGCATCATTTGTGTCCCCTGAATATTTCAATTTGGTGAACTCTCTTTTAATTGTAATAACCTAAAAGTAAACTATGAATAAAATGACCTAACAGGGTTATTTCATCAACCCTGAAATAATCTGAAGGACATAAAATAGAACTTTGTTACCCATACGTGATTACAAAATAACAATTCTGGATCATATTATTCTACCACTGATATTGACTTTTTATTTTTGAATCATTATTCCATTTCATTGTTATTATTTCAATTATAGAGTCATACACCCTCTACAGTCTTATGCAAAAAAAAAAAAATCAGAGCTCTATTTTTTAAGCTGCCTTAAGAACAGAAGATCAAGAAAAATATACAGTAATGTGGGTAATGAATTTAACTATGATCAGGGCCTAATTAATTAAACTGCTATTTATTCAACAATTTGACATTCTTTATTACCTAATACACTGAGAGTTCATTATGTATGTATATTATGTATGCTTGATTTTAATGCTTAATGAGATCAGCTTTATTCAGATTAAAATAAAAGAAAATAAACATAAACCTTTATGAACTGGTGATAGAATATCACAAAGAAGGATGAAAATACCCCTGAGACTACGAATTTACTGCAAGTCTTTTATTAAGGCAATAGTTACTGCTGAATACTTTTAGAAACTTCCTTATTTGAATGAGCTTTGTTAAATCCCAGATAATTTTTTCTATTTTTTTCTTTTTTGAGACATTTTTGTTAAAGCATATGTGTACTTGCCAGAGAGATGAAGAGAGACAGAGATACAGAGTGAGAGATCACCCCCACTCCAAAGGGAGATGGCCATACCACATTCCCTTCCCCTCAATGCTCCTCTTGGGATTTGGGGCACACACGCACACGTGCCTAAAGTGTTTCAAGCTCTCGCAACTGGGACTAGAACTGCAGTCAACCATGTGGGAGTCTAGCACCTTAACCACTGTGCCCCCTGCTGGCCCCCTCAAATAATAATTATTATTATTATCACTTCTAGCAAGAATTTATTTTTCTATCAAACAAAGATATATTACTTATTAGTACCTATTAGAAAAATAACATTGACCCATAGTAAAACTAGTCAAGACTGATGGTGTCAAAGAGATGTATTTAATATAAACTATTTTTATTTACTTATCCCACAGCATTCCTCCCTAAAATTCAACCAATATTTCCCATGACTCTTTGAATTTCAAGGGGGCATTTACTATTACTTTTTTTTTTTTTTTTTTTTTTTTTTTTGCTGTAGGATTTTTTTTGGCCAGAAGGTACATGTGCTTGCCAGAGAAAGAGAAAGCTCCCTCCCCCCAATGGGATGTGGTCACTCTGCAATTGTTTATCCTGTATTTCTCTACCCTGTCAAGATTTGAGGCACATACACACACACACACACACACACACACACACACACACCTAGAATATTTTTCAAGCTTCTGAGCCAAGACTCGATCATGTATACTTAACAACCATGTTATGAGGATAACCCTAATATTAGTATTTTTAAAATATTAAATGAATTTGAGAACCAGCAGTTAGTGTAATGGCTATGTCGCTGGACTCCCACGTAGTCGACCGCGGTTCGCATCCCGGACCCGGTGGCTTAAAACTCACACCGGGCACACGTGCGTGCGTGCCCAGGATCCCGAGAGGAGAATGGAGGAGAAGGGATTGCGACGTGACCATCCTCCCTGGGGGGTGATTTCTCGCTTTCTGTCTCTATGTCTCTCTCTCTCTCTGTCTGGCAAGCGCACGCGCCCTATAGCAAAAACCTCTCAAAAAAAAAGCTTAAATATTAAATGAACTCATGTTTAGGTTGAAATGTTTATATCAAAGAAAAATACAGCATGCTACACAAATGTATATTACAGCTCCACGAAGCATTGCTGTAATGATGCAGTGCTTTGGAAAGACAGGGACTCCACTGAAGCCTTCTGAACCCTGCAGGTACGCTTAAGGAAGTACTATTCCATTCCCCAAAATACAGAGTGCCTTGCAGATGGCAAGGAATAAACACTAAAAAGCTAAATATGTAAGCGAGACATAGGTAGAGATTACCTTCAGGAAGTCATGGCATCCACTAAGTGACAAAATAAGAAAAGGGTCAGAATAGGAGGGCAAGCCACTGGGTGTGATGGCACAGTAGTGCCTAGCTAAGGGAGCAGGTAAGTGAAGGCTGAAATCAAGCCTGTGCTCCATTCACCAAGTCGTGTGTGCTAACTCGGAGCTGTACCGTCACCAAAAAAAAAAAAAAAGACATTTTTTGTTACTGACCAAAGGCACTGATCCATTAACCAAGCTATGTACTCTCAGAGCCATGCTCACCCACATGGGAATTTTCATCTAATACAAACAATAGCACCAACATAAGTTAGAATTTGAAGGCCAGAAGTCTTCCTTTTACCTTGGTCACCTACAGCCGTACTGGCACATGATAAGCACTGAGGATGTGTCGAATGCTGTTGAATAGAATAGTAGTAACCCTGAGGAGATTGTATCAATTCGGGGAGTCAGAAATTTTAAATTTTTTCTCTTACACAAATTTCTATCTCCTTTACTATCTTCTCTTTCTGCCATCATGTCTGTAAATGAGCTTGGAATAATGGGTTGAGATGGACCACAATGAACAATGAGAAAAATCCACTGTCAAATAATGAAATCAGTTTTAAAACCAGTTCTAAAATATTTAAAATGATTATAAAATATGTAAAATCTCTGGAGTCACATTCGGTTCTTTGTTGTGGGCTTTTCCCAGTAATGAGTAAGCATTCAGGGAATCCAAGAAAGGGAATAAAGTGAAGGTCATGTATTTAAAATTTTATCAGCAGAAATTGGGAGAGGCTAAAATTCACCTCTTAAATCACTTCCATGCTTCACACTTTCTATAACAAAACATAAACCAAAGAATAAAAGAGGAAAAGCTTTAACACACCTTTTCCAGGTTTCTCCTTTTGTATAACTTGCAAGTAAAAATACAGGACTTCTCTATCAAATATTACTTTTTGGTTGGTTGTTTGGTTTTGGGTTTTTCTTTAGGTTTTTGTTATAGGGTATGAACACTTGCCAGAGGTTTGGAAAAAGAGAGAGAAAATGAGAATGCATCCCCCGGGGGAATGGACATGCCACACTTCCTTCTCCTCTGTTCTTCTCTCTGGATTTTGGTCACAGACACAAGTGCCCAGTGTGATTTTCAAGCTGCTGGGCCTGGGACTTGTACCTCTGTTGGTCATGTGGGATCCTATACTTTAATCACCATACCACCTCCTGGCCCTCAGAGTGCTGCTTTTTAAGGAGGCATTTAGCATTTTTCCTTTGACAAATGTAGATTTCTTAAATATATAACAAAATAATCACTTAAAATGCATCCTTATGAAGAATATATTTCAAATAGGAATGTTTGCACATATGAATTACACAGATTTTGCTTAAAATTTTGTTGTTAAACAAATAACCTGGTTATTTTATAAGCAACTGTTGGCCTGTTTTCTAGGAGCACATGATTCGAGAGGATGCCAGGGGTCTGACACCAAGACAATGTGCTATAATGGAGGTGGTCCTGGCCACCATCAAGGTAAGGTCATAAAGCATCTGGATATGCATCCAGAGAGTCCCCATCTGCCCTCCAGAGATTAGGTACCCTGATGCATCTGTGTCAAGCTATGTCATCCATGAATATAGCAAGTCATTGAATAAGTATACTCCAGGAGTATAATAAATACATTTACATCATTCTTACCTCTTTATGATACTTACACTGTATTTATACTTGCTTCTTTTGTCTCTTTCCAAAAAAAAAAAAAAAAAAAAAGTAAGCAATGTCTTAATGTATTCTCAAAGAAAATACGTACTCTCCAAATCCATTAAGATAGATGGGTCGGGAGGATTTGGGGTTAACAGAATTTGTGTTGATGTTTTCTATGCTTGTTGAAATGATACTTTAAATGTCAACTTTCTCCTCTCTTTCAGTAAGTAAGATGATTTAGTTTTATTTTCTAATAAAAACTCAAAGGACTTATATTTTGTACCTCAATTTTTTCATGGCTAAAGGTTAACCAAAACTTATTGTACTATGGGCTAAGTGTGTACAGATCTCAAGATGTACCTCAGATTATCTTCAAATAATTCCTTTTAAATCATATACATATAGTTTATATTTATATGTGAAAGTTACTGAAGAGTTTGAAAAATGAATTTATCTTTTATTAGGTTGTTTGGAAAGTCACGATGTCTTTTTCTATGTTTCTATGAAAAATGTGTCGACTTTTCAGACAACCCAGTAAATTCAGATGATGTTCACTGTTTCTCCCCTTTCATGGAGAAAGCATCTCTTATCTAGGATGTGTGAACGGTATAGCAGAGAGCTGTTGCCTATGACTAACCATTTGCAGAGCACAGAAAAGCCCTACTGCATAGAAACAGACATTACAATGTATTCATTAAAACAGGATTCTCTAAGTAATAGTTGCCTATCTTCACAAAACTGTCACCTTATGGCTTTTGTTTGGCAGTTCTGGCATGTATGAAGCTGTCATGTGCTGCTTCAGTGTCAAAAACTGTAAAGTTAAAGTTGTGAGCTGAGAGTTTCATGACACCTGGTCACAACTAGAAATGTCACTGTATTTTAGGCAGTGAGATTGTGGAAATGGAGTTCCTAAGGAAGTGGCAAAAATTTTGACTAAAAAATGTAAAAATTGTATAATGTAATTTTGGGAGATAAAATGGCCAACATGAAAACATCTCAGAAAAAAATTCAAACCAGGGTTTGTTTGTTTGTTTAATTATTTTCAAAATTTTGAGGAAGTGGCCCAGTCACAGTAGCACACAGATAGTGCCATTACTTAGGAAGCTGGAAGCCACAGTAGAGGCCTGAATTCAGGCCTGAGTTCCTAGGCTAAGCTGAACACATCAGGCATGGTTGTGTGGGTTGGTAATTCTGGGTGATGGTGAAGCTAGTGCGGGAAGATCACCAAGACCCTGTCCGGACAGCAGATGGGGTAGCGATTACTTTGCTGGACTTCCATGTAGTTGGTCACAGTTTGAGTTCCAGACTCAGTAGCTTGAAAATCAGTGCCAGGCATGTGTGTACATGTACATTCCCAAGATCCTGGGAAGAGAATGAAGAGATTGAAGCATGGCCATCCCCCAGGAGGTGATTTTTCACTTTCCCTCTCACCGTCTCTGTCTCTTTCTATGGTGAATGCACATGCCCTAAGTAAAATACCTCTAAAAAAAAAATTGTAAAAAATAAATACCTTTCTCTGTCTCTATTCCTGTTCCTCTCTTTTCTGTCTCTTTCTGAAAAGTAGTTTTTTTGAGGAAGGAATGACTAACCTTTGGAGTAATAGGAGCACTAATGGCTATATACAGGGAAGTACTAGTAGGAAAAAGAACAAGAGATCTAGAGTGTACCATGAAGAGAAATGAATGAACAAAAAACGTTAACAAATTTAGAATCTGAATTTAGCCCTTCATGGACTGTACTAGGTCAATGTATGACTTCAGGAGTGGAAGAAAATGTGTTCTGAAGAAGTAATGAATGCCATTCAGTATATAGACTGACTTAACTCCTGTCCCCAACCCCAGCATTTCTGTAATTATTCACGGTGAGACCACACGACCATCAACTACAGGCTGAGTTCTATCAACCATGAGACAATCTTGATCCTCAAACAATTCCTTCAGATCTGCATCTCAATAACTCAAATAGCCTATCTTCCTGTTTAGGTCAGCTGTGACAATCATTTAATTCAGTCTCATGCACCAGATACTTGTCTTGTTCTTTAAGGATAAAACTTGGAGTTGAATATCCAGGAGATGGATCTGTGTCATTTTCTCATTGTTTCAGGACTGGAGTCTAATACTGTTCCTCCTGAGCCTCAGAGTCTGTGGTCAGGCTTCGAGGCCCCTGTTCTCTAAGTCCTGTGATACTCTTTATCTTATACTAACTCTTCCTCTAGGGATCTCCTTGCTAGGCCTGCTGTGCTTGCTATGACACTTTCCTAACCCTGTGGTCTACCCATCTGCCAGGTATTCACCTGATACATTTCAATGCCTCTGTATCAGTTTGCCAGAACTGAGACTCATAATATCTTTTGTGTCTGAAATTTGCCCTAACTGACTGTCCTATCATACACTAATTCTGATACTGACTACAGAGAAATTCAGAAGGTGGAGCATTACTTAAAATACTTGTGGGACCAGCAGTTAGTGTAATGGCTAGGTTGCCGAACTCCCATGTAGTGGACCACTGTTCAAGTCTCTGACCCGGTGGCTTAAACTCACTCCAGGCGTGTATGCCTGCATGCCCAGGATCCTGAGAGGAGAATGGAGGAGAAGGGATTGCAGCAAGGCCATTCCCCTTGGGGGATGGTTACTCCCTTTCCGTCTCTCTGTCTTTCTGGCAAGTGCACACAAGCCCTATAGCAATAACCTCTCAAGAAAAGAAAAGAAAAGAAAAAAGAAAAAAAACAAACAAACTTGTAACTTCGAGATCTAGAGATTCAGGATCTGCCTGGAGCCCAGCCAAAGCACAGAGCTCATGAGAAAGGTGTTGCTAAGACTAAAGCAGCAGATGGACCCAGGCTAATTCCCAGTGACTGCCAAAAATATGGTCCATAATTCTTCCTTAGTTTCATTATATCTTACAAGCTATAGATTAAAAAGTGAGAAAATGAAGAAGGATAATACTGTGGAGTTTGGAGCGTCTAGACAGGAAGAGTGTTTGGAATGTTTTCAGATCTCTTTCATGTAGGTACATCATCTCACCTGATCCCTATAAACATCAGGTGTTAGACAGATGCCACCCAGGCTAATTCCCAATGGCTGTCAAAGAGACGGTCTATAATTCTTCTTTAGCTCAATTTAATGAAATAGCTGGAAACAGGAAAATGAGAAGTCAAAAAGAAGAATGCTCTGTGGTATGTAGAATACAGATTGAAATAGTGTTCTGTTTTGTATTCTCAAATCTCTCTCACCAGCATACGTCATCTCTCATAATTTTCATAAACATCCTGGTTTAAAGTTAGGTCAAAAACGATCATTCACTTTTTAAAAAAATTTTACCCCATAGGGTGTATGTGCTTGCCAGAGACAGCCAGAGAGAAGGAAAGTGAGAAATCACCTCCCAGAACGGATGACAATGACACAATCCTCTCTCCTCTACTCTCTTAACCTAGATTTTGGGCATGTACGCATAGGTGCTTGGCATGATTTTTAAGCCACTGAGTCTGGGACTCAAATCATGCTTGGCCATATGGGATCCCAGCACCCCAACCCCCACACCACCTGCTGACCCCAATTATTCACATTTTATAGATCAGAAGATGGAAGATAAAGGGATTTAAGTTGTCCAAGCAACCGCACTGCTAGCAATTGGCAGAGCTGAGAAAGGACCTCAGACTCTAAAGTCAGTGCCCTTACTTCCGTGTCACATCATTTCACTCAAGTTTACAAAGTTTAAGTAAAACATAGCAGAGCAAAATGGGTCAGAGTTCTTCAGAGAAATTACTTCTTTCTCTACTAGAATACCATATTTCAATTATTTCAATTGCTTGCTTCTTTCTTAAAAATGACTTGCAGTCTTACAGCCTCTATACAAGTCTTGATGAAATATTTCCTCAAATTCTAAACTATTTGGGTTGGAACTATTTATGTCAGTCACATGTAGTTTCTATTGTAAATTAAGAGTGTCGAATATGGCAGAAGTAACAGAAATTATGATGATCTGTTGGGCTCACTCCCCTCACCTGCTAACACAGCCAAATCATTTGAAAGAAGTAGTATGGTGACAGCTATGAGACAGACACACCCTCATCAATAAAGGCAAACCAATGGAGAGGCCAATAGGAAAACTCTAGTTTGAAGAGGGATTAACTGGGCTTTTGAGTCCCTACCCCATAGCTCAAGAAGATGCAGGACTGCCATGGGATTCCTTGAAAGATGGGTTTCTCTCAAACAGAAATAGGACACCTTTTCACCAAAATAACTACTCTGACTTGAGGATGAATCAAAAAACTTAAAGAGGTTCTGAATCCTTGAACAATCCTTAAGTTATTTTATGATAAAGTTTGAGATACCCAGAAAAATGCCGGTTGGGGTCAGCTAGTGACCTGGTAGTTGAAGGTGTCTGGATCTCACATGGCTGACTGTACAATTCCCATCACAGACCCAGCAGTTTGAAAAACACACTGGGGCATGTGTGCGTGCACCCCCAAAATCCCAAAAGGAGGAGGTAAAGGAGGAGAAGGGATGCAGCATGATCATTCTCCACGGTGGAGGTGCTCTCTCGCTTTCCCTCTCTGTTTCGCTTCAGTGAGTGCACACAGCCTCTGGCAAAATTGAAAGAGAGAGAGAGAGAAAAAAATATTGCTGGTTTGATTACTTTCACCTTTCCAAATTCCTCTGAAACCCTCTTCTGAACCTGAGCATGTCACTCTGAAATATACGTTACAGATGTACTTGACATCCTGGCAATACAAAGATTTCTATAAAAATAATAAACAAATTGGGACCAGCAGTTAGTGTAATGGCTGTTGCTGAACTCCCTTGCACTCAACTGTGGTTTGAGTCCTG